GGGCCTCAACTAGGCCTCATGAAAAATACTTGGGGGACTTAGCCCATTATTTATGTATTAAGGAGTGAGCCCTTATTCTATAAAAGGGACTCCTTCACTTTCATTAGAGAGCACCCATTATTCATGTACTGAGGAGCGAGCCCTTATTTTATAAAAGGGACTCCCTCACCTTCATTAGAGAGCAACGCCGCCAGCTGAGCAACCGCCTCACCGCGAGCATCACTCCTAGCCCATCACTAATGTATTGAGGAACGAGCCCTTATTCTATAAAAGAGACTCCCTCACCTTCATTAAAGAGCAACGCCGCCAATTGAGCAACCGCCTCGCCGCGAGCATCACTTATGTATTGAGGAATGAGCCCTTATTTTATAAAAGGGACTCTCTCACTTTCATTAGAGAGCAATGCCTCCAGCTAAGGAACCGCCTCGCCGCGAGCATCACTCCTAACCCATCGCTTATGTATTGAGGAGCGAGCCCTTATTCTATAAAAATGACTCCCTCACCATCATTAGAGAGCATCAACTCTAGCCCATCATTCATGTATTGAGGAGCGAGCCCTTATTCTATAAAAGGGACTCCCTCACCTTCAACGCCACAAGCCGAGCCAACCAAGGCAACATAAGCCACGAGCCGAGCAGCCTCGCAGCATATGCTACTTCTAGTTGAGCATCATTGCAGATTGAGCACCGCCTCATATCAAGCATCAGTTCAAGACAACATCTAGTTACTTCGACCCACATATGGACTGAATTTCAAGTCTCCAGCCAAAAGACTCTCTTGACTGAAGACTTGGGGGACTACTGTTTATACCATATTTAGGGCCTCGTATTTAAATCTCGTATAAATACTCAGGGGACTTAAATGTAATTATGTGATAAAGGAAGGGGCAAATATGTAATAAGTGAGGAGTCCTTATTCTATAAAAGGACCCCTCACCCTCATAATTGAAAGAGGCCATTTCTGGAGCCTTCTCACCCCTCTCAACACTCTTACTCCCAGAGCTCTCTCTCTCTCCCGCACTTCTTAGAGAAATACAATACAATCAATGTAGACGTAGCCCAAACCTTGGGGTGAACCACGATACATCTTGTGTTATTTACATTACTTGTAGATTCACGGTCGGATTTACGTTGTTCCAAGACCTCCGGTTTTGTGCATCAACATTAATTATAAAACATTTGACATGCATTTCAACATATAAAATCATTTAAATAAGCTTTATGGGAAGAATGTAAAGCATATATGCTTATATAGAAAATCAAAAGCCTACTCACTGATATGTGGAAGAGTTGTAGCCCCCAAGTCTCACTTGACTGTGCTCGTCCTCTGGAAACGTCTCACCTATATGCAAAACAACTATTCTAACGTTATTTTAAGCATATAACCAAAATTATGTAATAACTTCTCATACGTTGCTCAATTGAGGTGTTTGAATATACCATCGTGGCCTACTCGACACCACGAATATTCCCATATTTGGAAAAAAATTCTATGTTCCCACATGCCCTTACGCGCCGGCCAAGGCAAGGCCACACGCACCGCCCATGCGCAGGCACGTGCTTGGCACACTGACGGATTCCCTAACGGCGTTAGAGAATATTTTGTTAAATGACAGTATATACCGTTAGTTTTACCTGACGCCGTTAGCATATTCCATCAAATTGATGGAATATTCGCCTTCTTCTCCAATGGTTCACCAAATTCCGACGCCGGCAGCCGCTGCACTCGCCGGTTTTTGGAAAAACTTTGAACTTCAATATCTTCACCATTTCTCAATCAAATTCCATGAAATTTGTACCAAAATGAAGCTCTGAACAAGAGAAACAAGTTCTTACCACTTTTACATCCTAAAACAAATGGAAACTGGCCGGAAAATTTCTTGAAAAATCGGCTAAGTCTGCAACTCGTTGAACTTGAGTGTCCCAATGTCCAAAACCTTCCAAAACTTCTCTAACAACTTCGTAAAGTTGTTTTAAGACCCTCTATAACTTTAAAACTCCGAGAAACACCCACGATCACGACGGAGCAACAGGGCACCTCGTCGGAGCTCACTGGTTCTCGAGCTCCCGAGATCTTTCCTCCAAATTAAGGTATAGTTCGACTCCTAAGCTTGCAAGGAACCCGGAAGTAACGTCCGCTAACTCGATCTGCGACGATTTGAAGGGATTTATGGCTGGTCTTAGGTGTACGAAGAGAGAGAGTGTTCGAGACCAAGAGAGAGAGAGAGTACGAGAAGGTGAACATGTGTGAATGTGTGTGTGTGTGTGTCCTGATCCAGATTGGGCACCCATATACAATCCTAAAGCTCTAATTGGACCACCAATTATAGGCTAAAAATCATCCAAAACAATCCCAAATTTCAATTGGGTCCAAAGAAGTCGGAAATGAGATAATTGGTCAATTTCCTTAGTCCATTTATACATTCACAACCCAACGCTCAAGGGTAAAATCGACATTTCCACGGTATCGGGGATAAAATGCATTATAATTCGGGACGGGTCGTCACAACTTGGCTCATCGTTTTCAGCGCAATTGGTGCTTTTATAGGACCAAACAGGGTCTAAGTTTCAAATTTTATGAAACTGAACCAAGAATGAGACATTATTTATAAAACTTGACCACTAAGTAGACATTATTTATGAAACTAGACCAATAAGTAGACACTATTTATGGAACGAAACCAAGAATTAGCCATTATTTCTAAAACTAAGCCAAGATGTGGAAACTATTTATGAAACTAGACTATACATTATTTATGAAACTGGACTAAGAACTAAACACTATTTATGAAACATGATCAAGAACTAGGCACTATTTATGAAAGTGGACTAATAACTAGGTAATATTTATGAAATTGTATCAACTATTATACGTTATTTATGAAACTAGACCTACTAACTAAGCATTATTTATGAAACGTGACCAAGAACTAGGCACTATATATGAAAATGGACCAAGAACTAGGCACTATTTATGAAAGTAGATCAATAAATAGTGTATTATCTTTCAGTTTCATAAATAGTATTCAGTTTCATAAATAATGTTTGTTATAGATGCGCGAGTCCAGCGCGTCAAGTATTTTTTTTTTCTTTTTATTTATTAAAATTGTGTTTTTTCATTAAAATTTTAGTTTTTTTTGTCATTTTTATTAAAATTTAAGGATTTTTTTATTAAAATTTATTATTTTTCATTAAATAAAGTTATAGTATGGTTTTTGGTTAAAATAAACTTAACCTAAGTGTCACATCCCGGCAAGGGCCCCCACCACATCCCGGGCTCAACTCCACCGTAGCACGATATTCTCCGCTTTGGGCTCCGACCATGTCCTCACGGTTTTGTTTCTGGGAACTCACACGAGAACTTCCCAGTGGGTCACCCATCATGAAATTGCTCTCGTACGAATTCACTTAACTTCGGAGTTTCGATGGAACCATAAGCAGTGAGCTTCCAAAATACCTTCGTGCTAGGAAGAGATAGAAATTTACATATAAGGCTTATAGGATCCACTCCCTTGGATGATGTGGGATGTTACACTAAGTCATTTTTCATGAAACTCCCTTGAATAAATAACAAATATCAAATTCTGAAATTTCCGTATATTTTATTTACCGGAGAATTATTTTCCCTCTTTAAATATAGCCTTAGTTGTCCTAGCTCAATCAAACACTGACAGATTGTGTTGGGAATTCATCAATAATAGTAAAAAATTCACTCTTAATTTCAAAAATGTCATTTTTATAAAAACTTTGAATTGTATCTAAAATCTCACTTAAATAGATACAAATACTCTCAATATATGTGAATAGTTGTTGATTAAAAAATTTCTTGTACTTTAATCAAATGTTGGTCCCACCAATATTTTTCTCATTTTTTTTTAATTTTCTTTGTCAAACAAAGACCATAGGTTTCTCTCAATTTTATTTTTTTTAATAAATAGAATCTTACTTGGCCAGATTTCTTGTTCTTATCCAGCTAGCAATTAACATAAAACATATATATATATATATAGCAACAAGTGAACTACCATAATGAACAAATAAAAATAAATTAACTTTTACTTGTCTCAAATTTAAAGGATTGTACAGCCAAAATAAACAATACAACAATCCAAATAAAAATTTATTCATTACGCTCCAAATTTAAAAGAGTTCAACAAAGTAGGATGAAGTTGAATCGGATTCCTAGAAGTTTATTTATAATGGTCATTTGAACCACACTTTGAACACTTCCGAGTTGATTTTTCTTCTTCATGTAATGGGATTCTCTTTTTTTTTCCTCCTATCATGTCTTCTTTGCGTAATTGATGGTAGGATAATTCTTTACACGCAAAAGCAATTTGCAAACAAATGATTTGTAAGAGAAGTAGATACTGGTCTGCTGCATAAGTTACGAAGGCAACCTGCATAAAAACTACGGAAGCAATTATGTTCAAATGCAGAAGCAATTTGGATAAAAACTACATAAGCAATGATGTTAAAGTTACATTAGGCAATTTACATAAAAACTACATTGCATAAACACTTGAGAACAAATAAAAATGTACCCAAATACATACAGACCGATAGCAAAGAACCACAAAACTGCAAAAACACATGTAAGTATTATCTATTTCTCTCCCAAAATCAGCGAAACCAAAGAACCAAAAAAAAGATACCGATTGAAACATGGAATGAATTAAAAAAATAAAAAGAAATCGTAGATGAGGAAAAATGAAAAAAAATTAACCATCTATACTGTTGTTTAGGGCTACACAACCAATAGCGAAGCCTTCAGTATGTCTCCACTATTTCTTAGCTTTTGCCGTCAGAAATTTATCATATAGGGTTTTTATTTTTTAGTTTATTTGATTTTAAAATTTTAGGGTATTTGTGTCTATTTAAGTAAAATTATGGATATATATGAAAATTTTTATAAAAATTGACATTTTTTAAATTAAAGACTAATATTTGGCTATATTTGATAAATACTGGAGTGTGTTTGTGTTTGTGAATTAAGAGAAAAAAAAAAGAAAGAAATCATGGCAAGCTCTGAGTGATGCTCAAATCCACCAGCCCTGAACCCGTCCAGCGGCTCTGGCCACGTCGAAAAGCTCGGTGGTTTCGATACCTATGTCACTGGCTCCCCTGACTCCAAGCTTTCCGTTCTTCTCGTCCATGATGCTTTTGGTACTTTACCCACCACTGGCACTCCAAAAGTCTTTCTTTTTTTACTTGTTTCTAAAGTTTCCGCTTTTTGTTTAGCTTATGATCGGAGTTTGTGAGTTTCAGTTGTCTGTGTGTGTTTTTAGCTTGTGTGAAATAATGGGTGCAAGATCTCACGTCGGATAACTGATATATGTTGAGTGGTTCTACTTTTAATTATATCGAGGTCGTATGTATTTACTATCTGTGTTACGGTGTGTTAGTAATGGGCTACTGGCTCGTCTATCTAAAATCTTTGTCACTTGCATATGTTTGATTAATTGATGGAGGAATCAGTTCTGACGTTTTCCTTTTCCTTTTGGCTTTGTGCATATGTTTGATTAATTGATCAACTATTTACTTGTTCCCCAATTTCTTTTCTTTCTTTCTTCTGTTTTTGCATGATTGTTGTTCTTTCTTTCCCATTTTGCTTCCAATTGGGAATTCGAATAGCGTAATTGATATTCGATCCTTCAAACTATGTCTCTGCTATACAGTTGATTGCATTGCTGTTCTATAAGAAAACCACCTGTTAATGTTAAATTTTGTTTGGCCATGGAGGGTATGAAGCTCCAAAGGCAAGGTATGACTCATTCCCATATCTGTTTTCTACAGCTAATTCATTTGTTTTGAATAGCTTGGCAGATAAGTTCTTCGAGTCTCTTTTTCTTGGATGACTTGGAGAACACTTTTGAAATTAAATACTCAAAGTTACATTAATCCTCAAGGGAAAAAAAGGCTATAATAGGTCTAATGTAACTACATTTTGTATCAGATTTTACATCAATTACCTGTTCTGATGCCCTTTTCGTGACGCTTTCAAGATCCCCACCTGTATTTTTAGTATCAACTCTGTACAATTATAAATGATAGTTGGTCCTTCTAGTTTCCAACACCAGAAGTTCTTGTTTTGAAGAACAGTTGTGGTTTTCACTTGTATCACTATTAATTTCGTAATATTGTCATATACATTTAACTAATGCCATCTGCCCTTCTCTTTTCATTTCCATTTTTTAGTGTCAGCTCTGTACAATTGTAAAGATATTTGGTCGGGCCCTTCTAGTTTCCAACACCAGAAGTTGTTGTTTTGAAGAACAGTTGTGGTTTTTACCTGTATCACTTTTAATTTTGCGAGATTGTCACATTGTCATATACGTTTAACTAATGCGACCTGCCCTTCTCTTCGAAAGGAACCTTGCAGACAAAATTGCAGCTGCTGGGTTCATTGTTGTGCTCCCTAACTTCTTCAACGGAGACCCTTTTAATGGGGACCATGCCTCTATTCCCGTTTGGAGAAAAGCTCATGCACCGGTTGGTTCTTTTGTTTTGATGCAGATTCTAAATATTTTGTTTGTTTGTAATATAAGTCCTTTCACAAGTATCTGTATGTATGTGATTCGTGAATTTACTTAGACCTTGGGAGACATTTTCATTTCAGCTTGGCATGTAGGAAGTGTAGAGGGATGGAAATACTTAACAAGTTTATAGGAAATCTGAGTTGCTACAGCAAAGCTCTTGTATTACTTCTTATTGTAACTCTCTTGATACAAAATGATATGCCAAAGGCTATATAAAGAGAATACAAAGTACTAGAGAGTTCTAACTAGATAGTTCTTCCTAGATATCTAGCCCAATCACTATTAGTGTACCTGATAAGCCTTGAACTTCGTGCTTCAGCCTTGTACATAATTCCATGGTCAAGCGTGCCTTGCACATATCTTAACACCCTTTTTCCGGCACCAAAGTGAAGCTGACTTGGTTCCTCCATGTATCTTGAAAGCATACTTGAAGCAAACATGATATCCGGCATCATCACATTTCTTCATTTTTCATTCGGCATCAAAGGAGTAGCTACTGTTTTGCAGTCAGACAAATTGAACTTCTTGAGCAGATTTTCTACATATTTCTTTTGAGAAATAAATATCCCATTTTTGGTTTGGGAAACTTCAATTCCCAAAAAATAATGAAGCAAACCTAGATCACTCATCTCATAGGTGCTCATCATATCTTTCTTGATCATTTCCAGTGAAGACTAAGTCATCCATATATAAGGAAACAATGAGAATGGAAGCTCCTCTCTTCAAAACATAGAGTGTAGGCTCACTTTGACTCTTTTAAAAACCTTGCTTGGCAAAGTATTTATCAATTTCAACATACCATGTTCGAGGTGCTTGCTTTAACCCATAAAGGGCTTTTTTTAGCTTGTAAACTTTGTCTTCTCCCCCTTCAAGCATGAAACCTGGGGGTTGTTTAACGTAAACTTCTACTTCCAACACTCCATTCAAAAATGCAGACTTCACATCAAGTTGATAAATCAACCAATTCTTTTGAGCAGTAAGAGCAATCAAAGTTCTAATAGTTTCCAACCGTGCAACTGGAGCAAAGGTTTTAGAAAAATCAATACCTGGCTTTTGAGTAAAGTCTCTTGCCACGAGCCTAGCTTTGTGCTTTTGAATGCTCCCATCTTGATTGAATTTCATCTTGAAAATCCACTTCACGTGTATGACATCTCTATCTTGTGGATAATCAACCAACTCCCATGTTTGATTTTTCTTGATCATTCTGATCTCTTCTTTCATGGCTTTCACCCATATTTCATGATTTTGTGCCTCTTTAAAGCTTTCTAGCTCTACACCAACGAAATTGCAAGTCTTGTACACTTCTCTCAAACTTCGAGTTCTTAATGGAGGACTTTCTGATGAAGAGTAGTTCGGAGAAACAGGTTCTGCATTCGAACTGCTTCCAGCATCATTTGAACTTCTTCTTCCGGCAACTACTGGAGTCTGAGGCATGACTTTCTGCTCTCTTGGAATTTCACCTTCTTCTTACACAATTGCACATGGCATCTCCTGAACTTTATTTTCATTCCAAGCTTTTTCATTAAAAATGTCATCTCTACTCACAGTCAATTTCTTAGTTTCAACATTATAAAACCTATAACCTTTGGTGCTCGAACAATAGCCAAGAAAGATACATTTTTGGTTTTTTTCATCAAGCTTAGTTCTCTTTTCAGCAAAAATATGAGCATAACAATGCAGCCAAAAAATTTGAAATGACTCACCGAAGGTTCGAATCCGCTCCAAGCTTCAAATGGAGTTTTGTTCTTTACGGCTTTGGACATCTATTAAGAATGTATACTGTTGTATACACAGCTTCTCCCCAAAAACTTTTTGGTAGCCCTTTCTCATTCATCCTAGATCTAGCCATCTCCACGATTGTTCGATTCTTTCTTTCGACAATCCTATTTTGTCGTGGACTATACCTTGTTGTCAATTGCTTCCAAATGCCTTCATCTTTGCAGTAGTCTTCAAATTCATGAGATGTATATTCGCCTCCTCTGTCACTTCGAATGATTTTGATGCTGCAACCACTTTGCTTTTCTACTAAAGCTTTAATTGTTTGAAGACAATGAAAGTTTTTTATTTCTCCTTCAAAAAGTAAACACATGTCATCCTCGAAAAATCATCAATAAACGTGAGAAAGTACATGTGCTGGCTTAAGGAAGGAGTTGGCATTTTGCCACAAATATCAGTATGCACAAGTTCCAGCGGTGCCTTTGCTCTCCACGTGCTTTGACTTAGGAATGAATTACGGTGCTACTTGCCCATGACGCACCCTTCACAAGCATCAGTTGTTGCTTCAATTTCTGGTAATCCTTTCACCATGCTTTTCTTTTGGAGAAGCTTTAGCCCCTGGAAATTTAAATGACAGAACCTTTTGTGCCACAACCAAGAGTCTTGCACAACATCAACCTTCAAAGAAACTTCATTTCCACAACGCATTGAAAGGGGAAAGTTTGATTTGCCTCCATCGGAACCGATGCAACGAGCTGTTCATTATCATTCTTATCATAAATAGTGCAATCCACATCTTCGAAAACAACTTTGTAGCCATTTCGCATAAGTTGCCCAACACATAAATTTTTAGCTATGTTTGGAACAAGCAAAACGTCATGGATATATTTGACTCCCTTTTTTGTTTGGACGGGAACAATGCATTTCCCCAACGCTTGGTGATAATAATCATCTCCCATATTTATTCTGGGAGTAATGGAAGTGTCCAAATCAACAAATTATTTTTCATTTGATGTCATATGATTGATGCAGCCGCTATCCACATACCAAACATTATTTCCTTCTTCGGATTTTGATTGACCAGCATAAAATAAATTCCTTCTTTTGCATCATCCTTCTCCGCAAAATTTGCTTGATTAGAATTCTTGAATCTGCATTCCTATTCAACATGTCCAAATTTGTTGCAATAATGACACTTTGGCTTCCTGCGGTTAAAACAATCAGCTATATCATGGTTACTTTTGTTACAAATCTTGCAAAAAGGCTTATTACCTTTGTTGGTTTTGGTATCATCTCTTTTGCTAGACTCGCCTTTTTTCCATCTTTGCTCCCCGCCTTGCTGGTCATCTCGAGCATTGCCTTTCTTGAAGAACTTCTTGGATTTGAATGTGAGCTTCAATTGGAAAGCACTTTCAACATATTACTCATTATTTTGTGGAATGAGGATCCTTTCCAGATCCTCTTTGTAAGGATCACGGAGATCCTCCAATCGTGGCCATTTATCGTACATCGTGCGGTTAGTTTTCGTCAGGTACTATTTATGTTCAATTTTAAATAAAAATATTAAAATAATTTCTGACCGCACAATATACGATGAACGGATATGATTGGAGGATCCCCAGGATACTCACAAAGATGATCTAGAAACAAGTGCATGCCCCATGCATGAAATTGAATATTAGAGTATAAAAGGATTCTCATTCTTCTTTGTGATCTCGAAGGAAATTGCTTTCGTGACTTTGATGTAGTTATCAATTATGTCCTTGATTGATGTACATGGGATTAAGTTTATGTGAATGAGAACAAATATTGTTCCACTAAAAGTGAACAAGATGCCAACAAACTATTAGCCAAAAATCTCAAAAGCTTTTCAAACTCAAAAGACTCGACGTCGGCACAATTACGCAGCTGATTTGTAATCCCGCAAAATAGATGTCTGCAAGACTATTTGGCGCCAAAATATTTTTAGGCAGGGTCGCGTACATTTTGTGGGTTTGTAGTGAAATTACATTTTTCTTCTAATTTTAATGGTCCTCTAACGGGTTTTTATTAACTAACGGAGGCAAACATGGGAAGCGATTCTTTTTTGCATATAAACGTTCCAAAGTTTTGTAACATGTTTTATCTAGAAGTACTCATCTTATCAAAGAGTGGAAAGATGGCTGAAGGGGAATGTATTAACCTGACCATTTTTGTGTTGTGATGGTCAAACATTTTGTAATATTTTCTATATGAACTAATATGAATTGAAACTTTTAGGTGTAAAATATAGTCCCACATTCTCACTGTAAATACTTTTGATCACCTACAACACCACCATTCATATGTCCGAAATATAATATGTCATAAAACTCCTGCAGCAACGTGCGGATCAATCTTTCTAGTCTCTTCTAGAATCCTAACTAAGGTCTTAACATTCGAGAATATGAACTTAACAAGTGCGGCTAATTATCTTGAATTTTTTTTTAGTGCGACTGTCACTATCACATAGTGCCTACTAATTTTAAAATTTTTTATTGCCTAAGTTGCTCGATGCCCAAACACATTTTCAGACACCTTGTAGCTTCCTTGATAAAGACTTCCATAATGTAACAGCTGATCATGCTTATATGACTAATCACTCTAGTCTCTAGAGTAAGCTGATGACAATTGTATTTTATAAGATCTGAGATGGGAACCAAACGACCGAAGGAACAATTATATGATGTAAATGTGCGAATTTATTAGTAGGAAATTTCTCAATCTTGTCGGGGAACTAGCTGATTAGCCAGATAAATCTTTGTATTTGATAAATAATAATTGAGGGATCAAAGTCGCTCAGTCTCAAAGCCTTGTTCACATAAGCAACAAAAGCTAAATTTCAATGGGCAATCAATTATCTACTCGACTTTATCTAGCCCCCCCCCCCCCCAACACCACCCATGCATTCAGCTACTAGTCCCTACTTTTCATCACATACATTATTAATCTTTGCTTAATTTGTGAATGGTGCTATTCATGTGTCCTTTATTTTCCACACACTCGTCTCAACTTTCGGCCATTGAATCGACAAATTGAAGATGACTGTTTTTGAAAAAAAGATTAATCCGTATAAGCCGACTAAAGGCAGTCAATCCGTGGAGTTGAACACAACACTGACTTCGGCCAGGTTCTTCCATCACTCCCGTAGCTCTTGCTTAACTACTTGTTCCGTAACCACGAAGGACATAAGTGAAAGGTAAAAAAAAATGTAGATAGCATCACGCATTTGTTCTCGATGGCATGTTTTTGCTTTGTGTATTTGATTGATTCCCATGTGATGCATGGGTTCTTTCTCTCTCCCTCGCTACTTGGAAGGAGATCAAATGCCTACCTTTTGCAGGGATAGTTGTCTCCTCACTAACTAATTATTACGAGAATTATAAAGTGGATTAAAAATATGTTTTATAGAAGTGATTAGTGAAAAGTTTTTTTTTTTTTTTTTTCGAGTTTCTACCTGATTTTTACAAATTTAAGCTGCTTCGGAGAAAGTTTTAAAAGTAACT